ATGAGGAGCCCGGAATCGAGGAGGTGATGGAGCCAACCGGGAGCGAAGGGGCCACAGCCATAACTGGGAGAGTACCCCAGGAACGATGGTCGTTCAGCGTAAACCAGGGGCCCAACGTGTCGGGGGTCACGATGACCTGGAGCTCGGGGTCATGGACCCGCGAGTTGGAGGAGAGGCGAAGGTTGAGCAATGCCTTGATGCCATCCAGGCGATGTTACAGGCCCTACTACTGGGTGCTGGCCTGTCGATGACGGAAGAATGGGTGAGCGATGGAGGCAGCAGCTCGGCGCCCCAGCCAGCTCCAGTACCAGCCCCCCGGACAGTGGATTGACGGGCAGTGTACGCATTGAGGCTCCGGGGCATCACAGGGAAGTTTTCGGGGGATCTTGAGCAGCTGCCCCACTTCCTGACTCACGCCCGCAATTTCATGTAGCAGAGTGGTCACCTGTTTGCCGGTGACGAGGACAGGGTTGCCTACGTGGCGGAGCTACTCGAAGGCCAAGCGGCCAGCTAGGTGGTCCGATTATACGATGCTGACGCGGCGGAGCTGAGGAGGTTCCCAGAGTTCATGCAGGTGCTCCGGGACCAGTTCGAAGATACCTTAAGTGCCAGGCGGGCCGAGGACGATATCCTGCGGTTGAGGCAGCGGGAAAAGTCGGTGGCCGAATACACGCTGGAGTTTTGGAGGCTAGCGGAGAAGCTCACGGACTGGCCGGAGTCTCTGAGAATGACATACTTTAAGAGGGGCCTCAACCTGGAAATCCTTGAACGGGCACTGGGTCGGGATGAGCCCACCACCGTGAAGGACTGGATCTGGCTAGCCGGAACGGCGGAGTCAGCGTGGCGGCAGATCCAGCAGGGTTCAAGGAAACGGGAGCCGATGAGAGATGGACCACGGGAGAAAGCCGCAGAGGAGGGATGGAGCAGCCGGCGACAGCCCACGGGGGGGCGAGAGGCAGCGAGAAATTCCACCCTTTGTTTCCAGTGCGGAGGGTGAGGCCACCAGGTGGCGCAGTGCCCAACGGAGTGGGATGGGCCCCCACCCCCCTCGGAGGCCAAGCCAATGCGGACGACCGGGAAGGAAGCGAGCGATCAGCTGTGGAAAGGTGTCGTGGCGGCGGTGGCAGAGCGAGGCAAGGCTGGATGGTCGACTCCCGAGATGGCGTCCTCTGGGGAGGAGTTGGAGCCGGTGGGAAATGAGGCGTGCTCGCACTGAATGGCGTCCCAGTGCAGGCAGAGGAGCCGAGACGCGTGGACCCAATACGAGGACTGCCCTCCCACGTGGGTGAGGGTGCACATCCTCGGGGCAAGATCCGGGGTGGAAGCGCAACTGCAGGCGCTGCTGGACTCTGGGTGTACGCATTGCCTGATGCACCCAGCCCTAGTCTCGGGGCTCAGACTACAAGTGCGGTGCCTCAGAGAGCCCATTGCCTTCAGCCAGCTGGATGGCTCACTAGCGGTGGGGGGCCAGCTCAGTACTATACCGAGCCGGTCCGAATGAGGATCGGGAATCACCAAGAAGAGCTGAGATTCATGGTGGTCCCGATCGCCGACTACACGGTGGTGCTCGGCCTGGTGTGGCTGTGACGGCGGAACCTGCACACCGACTGGGCGTCGGAAGTGCTAAGGTTCAAGGATGGAGAGCCGGGGAAGTGCGAGCACAGGGGACACTGGCAGGCGGCGACGAGAGGAGGCGCAGCCACGATGGGGCAGTTGGAGAGGCCGGGACACCCAGAGACCGAGGAAGAGCAGACTGGGACGGGGGTCCAGATAGTGGCAACGGTGGGCCCGGAACTCAGAGGGGAGTGGCTGGCACGGCTGTTCGTGCAGCACATCTACCGGCTGCACGGCGTGCCCCAACGGATTGTCAGCGATCGAGGCGGGATCTTCATTGCGCGATTTTGGCGGGAGTTCCTGAGACGGGTGGGAACGCAGCAAACCCTTTCCTCTGCGGTGCACCCGCAGACGGACGGAGCCACAGAATGCCTTAACGGGGGGTTAGAGCAATACCTGCGGTCGTACGTGGGGCACCAGCAGGACTGGGCGGAGCTACTGCCATTCGCGGAAGTAGCCTACAACAACGCCAACCACAAAAGCACCGGCTTCTCCCTGTTCAAGGTGGTGACTGGGCGAGACTTCATCCCCATGCCGGAATTGCCCCAACCAGCATCCTGAATAGACTCCCTGAACACTTGGTTCGCCCAGATAGACGCCACGAGGCAAGCAGCGCACGCGGCACTGCAAGGAGCCAAAGCGGACTATAAAAAGCACGCCGACCACAAGAGGCTCCCTGAATGGCAGTGAAAGGTGGGGGACCAAGTGTATCTATCAACGAAGAACTTGAAAACGCACCAGGCTTCAAGGAAGCTCAGCCCGAGGTTCGTGGGGCCATTCCCCATCACGGAAATAATCAACCTGGTGACTGTCAGGTTAACGCTCCCCAAAGCCCTCGGAAAGATTCACCCGGTATTTCACTTCAGCTTATTGAAGCCACACCAACCGGGCAACAGCTGGCACAAGGCAGAGCCACCCCCGGCACCCATCATGATCGGCAGGGAGCAGCACTTTGAAGTAAAGCAGATATTGGACGGGATTCTACTGTCCGCTCGCAAGCCGGGGAAAAAGAGGAAGTGAATGCTGAGGCTGATTAATGGGCCACTTGCGGCCGCGAGCGGATGTTTTGTATCCACCCTGATGAGCGGCGTGCGCCAAGACAAAGAACAAAGCCACGAGCCATGGAAAGGAGATCACCGCATGATCAAACAAACCCCGGTCTTGCGTGCAACTGAAAGGACCCCAAGGAAACAAGCCCACGCCAGAGGGGCAGGCAATCAAGGGACAATGGGATACTGGGAAGGTGCTTCAAAGCATGAATTAGCACCTGCCTAGAACTCTTTAAAACAGTGGTGTCTTTCCTGGGATTGTACAGCAGCTGCAGAGGGCAGTCACGTGATATTGGAAGATGCAGCTATTTTTAAAGAGTTCCAGGCAGGTGTGAAGTTCCTGTGTTCTCCAAAGCATCTTCTTACAATCTAATCCAAAATTCTGGGTAGCAATATTTATATTATTCAAACTGAAGAATATGCTAGAAACTGAACACTTTGGGCAATGTTAAGAACTTGGGTTTACGATAGAAGTCATCAAGGACTGAAGCAGTGATTTCATTCACCCAGGTAAACAGAAGGCCTCTATGTAAACACTTAGCTTGATTTATTCAACTTCAGAATTACCCCATACAAAGAACTCTTGATAGCACAAGCTAATCAGCTGTTACTTTGTTGCATCATTGCTATTATGAGAATACCTGATAAGGTCACATTCTGTCACTCAAGCAAATTTTACTATGCCCAAATTGTTTCATAGTTTTTCCTGTTTCAATAATATTTCAAATTAACATTCTGCATTCTCATCAGCTTCAGAGGTTATGCAGCCTGAATCATTGTGGGAATACAACTCCCTAATACAACGCCCATCTCCCTAAATTCAGTGTAATGCGATTATGGTCAGGCTTGATAATTCTTATGAGATTTCATTATGCAATATCAATTTTAAGTTTATATTTCAGTATTCTTTAAGCGTTTAACATTGACACATGAATAAAAGTTCAGTGAATAAAAAATAACTGAAGATACTTTCAGCTGAATTTCTCCCCACTCCTTCACAATTCCTTTTCCTTGTCTGTGTTTAAAAATTGTAGGGTGGGTATATTACAGACTTATGATTACAGCCACATAATATACTTTAAGCAAATTGAATAAGAAAAATGGCAACATTAATTTTAGGGGCTGCCATATGTAGCTTTTAACGAGTTCTATCAGAAAAAGCTACAATGTATTTTTTTCCCTCACGGGAGCCTAATATGCTGTTGAAGTCACTAATTCTAGATACATTTTACTTGAACCTGAACATTTAACTGAAATGAAAGACGCTTAAATGTGTTTTATCTTCAGCGGAATTGCAACCATTACTTAATTCTGCATTCTGTACTTATTATTTACATTTGGTTTTTTTGAGTGGTTAATTCTCGTTTTAGATGTATGTTAGAGTATTTCAAATAGACACATTCAGATTAACACATGCTTTAAACATTTGGGTTTATTACTTTTTAAGGAGTTAGGAACACATTTTCATAATCAAAAGGCAAATACAATGAGATTGCACATAACAAAGACTTTTTTAGATTCCACAGTTTTACATTCCTGACAAGTTTCTTAGAGGAATGTTATGACATTAATTTAGTACAGACTAGACTGGACATTTTAAAAATTGTAGCACTGTTTCCTTACATTGGTGTGGTGGATTTATTCACACGGATTCTGGATAACAATAAGAAGATACTCCTTATCTGCAGGATGAGGAGAAATAAAGAACAATGAGATACAGCAATGTTTTATAACATGTTTGATTTCTAATATTCCTTTTCACAATTTATTATGGTTGATACTGGGAAGACAAAACCATTGCTTTACCAGCTTCCTCAAAAAGGGAAAGTAAAACTTCAACTTTCAAAACAGTAATATAATTGTAACAGTTCAATACCATTTGGATGTATAAACATAAAAAGCCCAAGAGAAAATATGTTTAATGTGTTAAACTATCTTCCCAATGTAAACTGTCGCAATAATGGTTAATTATTGCAACTTTCTGTATTAATCGGGCAAATCCATCTTGGAACAATTACCATTCACATTACATAAGAAGTTGCCTTGTATCAGGTCTTCACGTTGTTCAGTATAGCCATCAGATTCATGGCAGATAAAATAAGACGCTGCTGTTTTGATATGTCAACACTTTAAAGCCCTGACATCAGGCAGCTTATCCTTAAAATGATTCCCCCTTAAATAACATATGATTAAGCAGACATTTTGTGGCAGGTTTGGAGAAATGTAAAGAACATCACAAGCCATCAATGCAACAGGAGGGAAAAGACAAAAGTTATTACCTGGGGCAACCATAATTTCATGTTTCTTTGATCTAATCCTGAGAAAGGTGAGATCATTTTGGGGATCAATGTCTCTGACTGTGCTCTTTGCTTTCATGGTGAGCTGATGAAGAAGGCCAGCATATTGCACTGTGGTGGAGTTATCAAGAGTTGTTCTGATTGGGATCCCTGAGAAAAGAAATGGCTTTAAAATGATTCAGATCCATGTAGCCAACATTTTCAATGCTAGCAGTACCCCAAGGGGGGGAAAATCCAGCTGTATTTGGAGATGCCAGGGATTGAACTGGGAATAATAAGACTAGCCCACCCTCTGGTATGCAGAGAGGATTCCAACAGATAATTTATTAAATCAGAGGTTGGCAACACAAATGTCTTGGGCCTGAAACATTTGCCAGCCTCTGAACACTGGACACTCGCTATATACCCAGTAGTGTACATAGACACTGGGGTCATACAAAAGAGGCAGAGATGGCTTTTCAGTAGACAAGATTCCGTAAGGTAGGTTGGCAATCGTTGCATCCCAAGAAAAATTCAGGAACTAGTATTTGAAGTCACTTATTTAAATTCCACATCATATTAATGAAAATGAGGGTGCAATCCTATTTCTACATCCTTAAAGATTAAGCAACACTGGCATCCATCAGTTACTTTTATACATTTGCTCTGTTAAGCAGGTCATGAGTATGAGTTTATCTTTTTGATATGTTGCGAGAACAGATGAAGCTATGTGCTGTGGTAGGAAAGACGAACCTTTCTCACAGGCTCTGCCTTATGCCATTTCAGTAAGGTAGTCCTAAAAAGGATGGAAGTTTTGGATCCTTTACTGGGATATTAATCAGACTGAAAGCCCAGCTTTGCAAAATGAATGGGAGTTCTGACAATTCTGTTGGAAAGAGGGAATTTTATCTAGGGCATTAAAACGGCAAAGCCTTTTTTATAATCATCTTGAATCTGATGCAAGAGGCCTCACATTATTGGCACCAAATTACCGTCAGCCAATTATGTTTAAAGGAAAGAAGCTCATGAACTTCTGTGGCCTTGAAGAAAACAGTCCTCAGGTTTGCTCTTGTTTAATATCAGAAGCAAGGCCCTCCTTAGATTTAAGGCAATGTGAATGGCAGTATCAGTCTGGGCAAGGCATCAGCTTAAACATACATGTCTGCCAGATGCAACAGACCACATCCAGTTAACTTAAGATATATTCAGCCCAAGACCCCACTTGTTAATTGATTGCCTTGGGGATTTGTTTTACCTTTCAAAATATTTTTTTAAGGGACTAGCATTAAATGTTTGCAGAAAGAGTGAGTGAATACAGTAACCGCAATCCAAGAAATCCTGGCTGAAGAGTAAAGTCACTGGTTACTGGAGCCTTCATATTACGGGGTCTATGTATTCTCCATTTCCTGTTCTCTGACTCTTCAAAGTTTTGAGCCAGCCTATGCTAAGGATGGACTCTCTAGCTAAATATTTCAGGGTTTCAGAACTTTGGAAGACATAAAAGATATTTACATCATTTGGAGGCAGGCAAATTTGTAGTGATGGGCTACATTAAACAAAACCTGGCCTTGTGATGATCTTATTGGAGAGGCATAGGCTTCTTGTACATTTTTAAAAGAAAAATATAACACAAATGTTAAGCCAATTTGATTTCTGCCCACAAGAAAGCTTATGGGAAAGTCTAGTCATATTTTCATCTAACAATTTTTGAATTGGGATTGAACAGAACTGGCAAATCAAACAGAACAAAATTGTAAAATGTTTTGCAATTGTTAAAAGCAACACAATGAAATTCAAGATGTGTTTCTACTGCAAATTCAAGGCATTCCTCCATCTCCTAGCTATAAGATGTTCTATATAAATGTTCTAGCAATATATCATGCATTTTTTTTTAGCTTAAAATAATAGACGCTTTTGATCTGCCTTACTGGTTACCGCTTAACCTATGGAGAAATCTAAATTCATTAGGTAGGATCTTAAGTTAATTAGTTCAATAACTGCTATCGGTGATGCAAAGAAAATCATTGTGGGGTAAAGTCAATTGTTTACCTGTTGTGCTGATTAATTTTAATAGAGGATGTACTGCCTAGTTTTCAGAAAGCAACCTCTGGTAGATTTTGCAAGACTAAACTTCAGTTTAAAAACAGTTGCCCACTCTTGATCTATGTTGCTTAGATGCAGGCTATTTACTAAAAGCATTAACCCATGGTTAACTGAATCCACCTGAGCCACAACCAGCACATGACATTTTAGTCTAATGTGTTGTGCAACTCCACAAAAAGTTTCCTTTTTTCTTTTTAGGGAAAATGACAGAGTGTGTGTATATGTATATGTAGATAAATAAGACATGGGAGATATTTACCTTCTGCATTTACAACAATAGTTCCAATAACTCCTTTATGGGACTGAATCCTTTTCAATGTTTCCTCTACCTCTGCCTATAAAAGAAACAAAATTACTGAAGTATGAAACCTGAAAACTAGCCTTACAGGCAACAGCTAATGTATTTTGAACATACTATCTCTTGCCTAACTTTGAGCTCTATTTCTAGAATATAGACAGCCTCTGAGCACTAGCAAAAGAGCACTTGCAGAGAGCAGGCAAGCAAATCTACAGCCTTATCTAATGGTTTTGATTTTGGTTCTGTTATGGAGAAGCATCTGTGCTAGTTGTGCAATCACAGTACTTTGAAGAAGAGGTGCTCTACATGAATGAGCCAACTTAGAAACAACAGGGAGAGCTGTGTCATGTTTAAGGCTACACACTGAGCACTCATAGTGGGATGGAGTTTGTCGGTGACTTCTCTCCATGCCTTAAAAACAGAAATGAATTGCCTACTGCATTTTCCTCTTTCCCTTCCACAGATATGTGGTTTTCCTGCTGGCAACCCCCTCTCCCTTTTGGCAGCCTTTCCCCCAAAGCGAAGCGGTAGTCACAGTTAAGAAGCCAGTGAGCCAGTTCCTTAAAATCCAATTTATGTGCAAACTGTTGCTTTGTTTTATGAGCAAGAACCAGCTTTCTTCATATACAGACTGTTTCATTTACACCTAGCTGTAAAAATCTATATTGCACACCAACACAAGTTATAAGAGACTGCAAACAAATAATTCAACTTATCATTTCAAGCTATTCAACATACTGAGGCAGACCCTTCGGTGGCCCTGAATTAATTTATAATTTTATATATAAATGAATGCCAAATGATACTATTAAATCCAGGGCTACTAACTATAAAAAAACTAAATGTTACATGGCTAAAGCTGAAGGGTTTCCCCTCCTTCTTTTTAAAAACGTTTATTTTCATTTTATTCTCCTAGTAACCTCCAAAATCAAAGAGAACAAAAATATTAAAATCAGAAAATCATTAAAAAAATGAGTGCAGATTCAAAAAACGTAATCCAGTGCAATGAAATTGACCACAGAGAGTGTTATGTGATAGAAAAGACTTCTGGAACTCATTTAAAGATGGGCAGAGAAGAAACTTGGCAGTTGCCTCCAGAGAGAGAATTCCTTAATGGCAGTGCAAACTTCCTGGTTTCCCATTTGGCCCATTATATTATGGTACTATATAAAAAACCAGCAAAATACTTTGTTAAAGCCCTCAACCGCTTTGGATCCATACAGTCCTACAGACAAGTCCAGGATCTGCATCTTAAAGTCTGCACATTCTATCATAATGTCACTTAGCTTATCTGTTTACCTATATCTCAACAGATTTTATCTGCATTCCTTCATTCTGGAGTATGCAAAGCATCATAACTGGGCAAGTAACTACTCAATCTAATTTTTTTTTTTAATTTAAAGTTAATTCAGCTGAAATCAATGGGACTTACAAGGACAGAGAATCTCTAGCTTTAGTTGTTAGATAATATCTCTCCTGCTCTTGGGTTGCATGATAGTTGCATTCCATAGTTCCTCTTGTATTTAATTAAGATAAAGGTATAGGTGGCTTGGAATCAATAGTGTTGCCACTGTTATCTCCCACAATATTTTCTTGGTTTTCCAATCTTGCCTACCACTTTGAGATTTCCTGGGAGTCTGCCATCCAAGTTCTAACTAGGTCTGACCCTGATGAGCTTTTTTGGGGGGGTCATATTACACCCAAATAGTCTGGGAACTGTTAAAAACTAGGACCTTTTGTGTAACTATCAAGAGACCAGGTGACACACCTGGGGGGGGTAAAGGGGGGGCTGGGCAGATTTGGTTTGGGCACCAACTGTACCTGTTTCAGGACCGCAAGGCCTTGCTCATGGTTGCTCATGCCTCTGTCACCTCCCATTTGGATTACTATAACATAATCTACATGGGGCTGCCCTTGAAGAGCATTCAGAAGCTGCAGCTGGTCCAGAATGCAGTGGTACAGGCAGTTTTTGGAGCCTCTCGCTATACCCATGTAACACTGCTACTCTGCAAGCTGCACTGGCTCCCAGGAGGCTTCTGGGTGTGATTCAAGGTGCTGGTTGTCACTTAGAAAGGCCTGCATTACCAAAGGCAGGCTGCTTGCGGGACCGCCTTTCTCCCGTTTCTGCTCAACCCACCAGATCTAGCAGAGAGGGCAAGCTCAGATCCTCTCTATTAAACAATGTCAATGTAATTTTGTTGGACCAGGAGCTTGCCTTCTTTGTGGCAGTGCCTGTTGGCCCTTTGAGGAAGTCTAGACAAGAAGCACCAACCATGAGTAGTATCACTATCTTTATTGTAAGGTTACAGCAACAGAATCTTGCAAGTCTGAAAGTATCTCTCCCCTCTCTTACTTTTTTGTTGTTCAGTCGTTAAGTCGTGTCCGACTCTTCGTGACCCCATGGACCATATCGCGCCATTTACTCTCCTGAAAACTAGGGAGGGTCCTTTCTGAGACACTTTCTCTACCTCCACCCCTCCTTTAGACCCAAATTTCTTTTATCAGACCATTATCTAGGCTGCCTCTTCCTCTTGTCTCCCAAGGTCACTCCCACAATCCATTACAGCCCCTGCCTTACAGAAAAGAACCCCCTAGATGGGGTTGGATGGCCCCAATCCTATTGGCCTTTTGTAAGGCTCTAAAGACCTGGCTGTTTACTTAGGTGTTTGGCCAGCCCTTTGTTCATGTATGTGTTTATGACTGGAAGGTGGCACTTGCCCAGGGCGCCCTGGGCTATCATTTTAATTGTTCAGCTTTAATCTTTAATTTTTTGCAGGCTGCTCAGAGTCACTGTTGTGAGATGGGTGGCCACGTAAAGTACTTAAATAAATGTAAATAAGTTAGGAACTCCAAAGTTTGCAAGGAGATAAATACTTTACCACAAAGCATTTATGAAGGAACCCTCTCGGCCACTTCAATGATCTTGCAAGCCACTATGGCCCCATTGGTCAGAAGCACCTGCAGGCTCAGCCCAATGGCAGCAAGGTTGCAAAACAAGCCCCGCCTCTTTGGTCCACACCAAGGGGCGGTGCTTGTGTCACCATGGTGTGAGGCTGCTTTGGTCATCTGAGGGATGCCCTATGAGGGGGAGGGGTTTGAAAAGTCAAGATGGCGCCCACAATTGCGCAATCTATGCCCCGCCCCTTTAATGGTTTTAAATGGTTTAATGGCCATCTCGAGGTTTTTAGTGCCTCCTCCCTCCGTGGATACATCTGACTTATAATGGGGAGCTTGGTTTAGGTTAATCTTGGTTAATTTGGGGGGGGACTGCGACGTGTCAATCCAGCCAGTTGGGATCGTGGAGGGGGTGACTGCCGTCTGTGCCTTCAGCCGAGCTCCAGCTGGGCAAAATCATCTCCGGGCAGGCTGCCGTGAGGCCTGAACGCCCCCAAGGCAGACCCACCCCAGCCGTTACCCTCGAGTAAACTCACCTAGCCCAAAGGGGAGCCCCCGAGATCATCGCGGTCTGCCCCACCCTGAATCCCCAGCCAGTCCAAGCGGGGCAGGATAGCTCTCCCGGCCTGCCATTGCTCTGCTCCGACTTTCCCATCCATCCCAAGCCGACGCCGGCTCCTCTCGGGCTCCACTTCCCCAGGACAGCCCGCAGCTTCCAGCCGGAGTCCCTCAGAGCCGCCCCCCGCCACGACCCTC